CGCCTCTTCCGGCAAGCATGGGTTGCTGAAGACCTATTCTAACGGGTCGCTGGGGGTCTTTCAGAAGTTCGCGTGCAGCGGCCAATACGTTCAATGCTTCAGTCTGTGATAAGCAACACACCCAAAATATTGAGGGTCGAACCCGTTCAGGGGGTCCCAGGTTAACAGGAATACAGGATCGAGTCCTTATTCACTTCAGAGGCGTGTCTGGAGACCTTGTAATGGACGTCAAGTCAATGTCAACCTAAGACCACATGAGAGATTTGGCTGTGGATCGGTTAGGGTGTGGGGTGGCAACATTATGACTGAGCGAACTGCACTCCATATTGTGCAAGGAAGGATCATTGGACACTATCATCGGGACAACATACTAATCCTTTGATGTCCCGTTTGCAAGGCGTGTGGGTTGACGTTTCGTCTTTCAGGACGACAACAGCCATGCCTTCCATGCACGATCACTAAAGCTCACCATCAGCTGCACAACATCCACTGTATGCCATGGCCATGCCACTGTATGGCATTGAACACGCCTAGGACATGATAGGGAGACGACCGACGGCCAACCCGTGAAGATCCGGGGAGGAATAGGTCTCCAGCAACCCATGCTTGTCGTAAAAGGCGAGTTTGCTTGTTGTAAGAGGCGGCTAACGGGATGGGAGGGGCCGGCTTGCTGACTTGGTTGATGCATGTCATCGTATCCCAATAGGTGGATCAATGCTCATGATCTCAATCAAGGGATTGTCTTGTCCAGACTCGATTATTTACAGACCTCCGTCATATAGCATGAATATTGCTGAGCGCGGTGTTAAATAACAAAAGACAAAGAAACGACCGACGACCACGTTGGTTGAACTTGGCCAGGTGCTGCAATAGGAGCGGGGCAGGCTGTCTCAAGTCGCCACTGGGAGACTTATACGCAGTATGCCTCATCGAGTGAATGAATGTTTAATAAATTGTAGCGGTATTATGCACTACTGATCCAAAAAGTCAACTTTGAAATTTCGCATCTTACCCCTATCGTCCAGTCATAACATCTACTGTCATACTCCACTACAGGTTGAAATGCGTTCCCAAATGGTTCATTATTATCAAACAACTATTACTAGAAACTAATATCTCTTACAATTTTGTGTTTAGTTATTTCCGAATGTCCCCCACTTTCTTTGGAGATTATATTAACAATAACGTTTCCCTCAGTTGAGGCACCGTCTTCATGAGCTGATGAACGTCAACAAATACAACTTCAGTCCTTATATTGACAGATACATAAATCATAACAAAACAATACATTAAACACCAGACCTTAAATATTTAAAGCGAACTATATCATTGCCGTAGCCGCCATTTTCTACCGTTTGTAAAACCAAGGGATGTCACTCTAAATGGAATGTTTGGGACGAATGACGTCACGACTCTCCGCGTTGTCATTCACTTGAAACAAAAGTTAGCGTTGGGGAGAAGTCCAGACCCGAATGATGCTGACAATGGATTGATATTAACGTTCTGTGAATTTTGGGTGTGTGTTTGAGTCATACTACGGTTGCTGATGACGTGGATTACCGCTTTAGGCGGCGCGGTTGGATTTCCCTAAGCACAATATATACACGACAGTGTGGAGACATATACCCGACATATACATGATCTGTCTGGCTTCTCAGCCTGGATCGATGTCGCTCTCGGTTTTCACTTATGATTTTTAATTTTATTTTTAGACATTGAAGAATTCTGTATGTCTCCGCTCGATTGACAACGTAATCACGTGACATACTGACTGGAATACTGTTAAATGCGGCGTTAAACCCCACTCACTCACTCACTTCTTCAAATAAATGCTACCAAGGTGGAAACTTATGTTTAGTGATTAATGCATTTGCTCGTTTCGCTTAAATATATATTTCCCAAAACCTGTTTCCACTGATATGTAACACTAACTTTTGTCTCACTCGTTGTGTTTTGGCAATTAGATCGGTGTTAAAAGCCTTGATTAAACTGCAAATGCAAATAAATAGTCAATAAAAGTACCGCCTTAAAGCCGATGGAGACAATAGTTCGTGCGCACCTCAGTTCACACCGTTGCACGCGAGTTTACCGTGACGAATTACCTCCCTTAACGCGCCCTGTCTTCTACATAATTGGTGGTAGAAGCAATGACATGTCCGTGTATGATTGTGGAAAACCAGCAACATATACCTTTGCTATCATTCCCAATCATGAGCCGATAAGTAATAAAAAATAACTGTTCCAATGCATCTCTGAATTTTCAGATTCAGTGGGAAAACAGTTTGTAGAGTTCCTACACATTATTTTATTAACTTGACACATTTTATTCCCCTCCCTGAATTTCTAAAATATTCTTTCTTTCTGTTTTGCATAGCTATTTATGATTAATTAACTGCTATTAATGGATGAACAGAAAACATTGTAGAACACCAAACCTGCCTCTTGTGCTATATCTAAACAATACTCAATGACAAGCATAATATGTGATTGATAATATTTAGATAATGAGTTATCTCCCTTTCCTGGTATCAGGATTGACACCCCAAGCTTTCTTTGGGCATGCAAATACTCAATATTTTGCGTCGAGACCTACAGATATATTCCTAAATTTTTGTTGCTTGGTGGATATTGTACATTATGCGTGAAAATGGTGACTCTGTAGTGGGTTTTGAACCTCTCAATAACTATTTACATGAGTACTTGTTCCTTTGATACCCAAGCCACATTAAATATGTTGCTATTTTCCCTCGATTGTTTCTATTTTTTGTCCTTTTTTCATCATACTTGTATGTAGTAAACAAACTTAAATAGCAATAAATACTACAAAGTAAGTTTAATTACACTATGAGGTTAATGTGTTTCAAGGAGTCAGCTAAAGCAATTTATTTTATAGTGATGTTAAATCATGTCATTTGAGGCCTACCCTACTATACGTGGGTGCCACCTACAACAAAATATAGCATGGAAAGGGATTATTGGGTTTTTATTCGGTAAAAGTGTACTTTACTCTCTCTTCATGTTACATCTCAGAGCGTTGTAGTGGGTTTCACTTATTGTGTCCAACGTCTTTAAGCGCACATAAAATACACCTCTCTCACTCAGGTCTTGTAAGACGATCTTATAAATTTCGTTCCCCACAATAAATATAATATAGTGATACATTTAATATAAAGAATTGTACTATGCGAGCCTTTAGCGAGAATAGTACTTAATCTTATACACATATATAAATTTACGATATGATATAACTCTAGGCTAAAGTATCTTTATCATAAACAGTAAACTACGGTTATAACGAACTCAAAGGGACCACTAATTTTAGTTCGTTTCCAGGAATGACATGGGCCTATATACGTAGTTCGTTATAAGCATATATACAGCATATATACAACAAATGACCGGAACTAAAAATATGTTCGTTTATCGGTCAGTTGGTTATAAGCGTGTTCGTTATAAACGTAGTTAAGTGTAATAATCGAAGTGCAACACGTATTTTCATTCGCTTGATTAACTTTAAAAACATTTGAATCTAATGCGTCAATTAATCACCTCGTTTATTATAAATGTGCAGCCACGTTAACAGATTGAGAGTGTGAGTTGGGTTTAACGCTGTATTCCAGTTATATCACGGCGTGTCAGCTTGATGTGGGAGCCCGAAGTGTTGCAGGTCTCAGACGTTTACCACTTCGGTTAAACCCACGAGCACGGGTATTGTGCTGACAAACCTAGAAACATAATCGGGGCGAACTGGGATTCGAACCCACAATCATAGGTTTCTGGCGTGCCCATGGAAAGCTCGTAAGATTCCGTTTATCCGCTACTGAAACGTAACTCATATGTAGCAACTGACTTGCCTTTGCGTGTGTTCATGACATGTGACACTGGTGGGGCAGGATACGCTCACATTTCCGAGAACATCTGGTATGATCACAATCCATTCTTATACCGAGTATGATGAAATCGGTATCGTACAATGGGCTCTGATTTCAGCAGATATCTCTTGTGTTTTGTCGCTTTAATTAATATTCAGCAGAACAGTGTATGATAATGACCCTGTCTTCCTAACTTAAAGTGAGTGAGTGAGTGAGTGAGTGAGTGAGTGAGTATGGTTTTACGCCGCTTTAAGCAATATTCCAGCAATATCATGGCGGGGGACACCAGAAATTGGCTTCACACATTGTACCCATGTCGGGAATCGAACCCGGGTCTTCGACGTGTCGAGCGAACGCTTTAACCACTTTAACCCCCTAACTCTAAGTGTTTCATAACTGAAGATGAGCGGTGTTATAGGAAGTGTTGCATGTGTTAAACTGACTGGCTAGTAGCTGTTCTGTTCAGTAATATTATTACAGGGAACACTGACAGTGTAGGGGAAGGGTTAAGTGTATTGAAAAAGGAGATTTTTAAGTTTAAAGTGCATATAGTCATACATATGTTTTACCAGGTGCAAATCGTGACCCCAGAGGTTCTTATATTAAGGGAGATGTACTTCAGTGCCAGCCTGCTGTTCTGAATCGGTCTTCAGCAACTCATGCTTGTCGTGAGAGGCGACAAACGGGATCGGATGGTTCTAGTTGATGCTGACTTGGTTCATGCATCATGTCTCAGTTGTATAGATCGAGGTCCATGATGTCACTCACTGAATTGTTGGGTCCAAATTCGAGTATTTACAGACCGACGTTATGTAGCTGGAATAAATATTAGCGATTTCGCATTAAACAACAAATAAACAGACAAATTCATGAACATTTGTCTTACAACTGTATCGGGGAGCTGTTCATAAATATAGCTTTCATATAGAGCTGAAAACAATCACATAAAAATGCCCTTGTTAAGTCTAAAAATGAATTTTGAAAGAAAAGCTCGGGAGATGTATATACAACAGACGAATCTGTTCACGACAGTAATATAGATTTGTAAAATGTTTTAACAAAGGATGACATAAGATGATGAAAAACAATATATCATTGAACCGTTTCCTTTATTACTCATATTTTCAGGGCGGGAGGAGAAACATAAGATTGAGCGAGCCTTTCAGAAGAACTCCATCGTGTACGCCAAGAAGAGTCCAAGGCTGCCCAAAGTATACCAGCTCTCGAAAAAGATTCATCATTTGGCCAATGCTGAGTACCCATTCACAAGTCCTACAATTCCAGAACACTTACCTACACTCACGGCGAAAGTAGCGTCGAGCTCTTCGTCACCGGACAGGAAGTCACCCTTCACAAGGGAGACAACTGCACCACTCGGTTTACCACGACTTCCGGCTTCACCTTTGCACGCTTCGTTACTAAGACGACCAACCACGCTCGGGACCCGACCTTTGGAAGAAAAGGACGAAGAATTCCAAGCGTTTGCGACCCGTTTAGATTTACAGCCACTGATTATCGATGATTGTCCGTTTAAGACTCTGAAGTTCTACACCTATAAATACCCGCTGTTGCTTAAGAACTTGCTGAAAAAAGATCGGGAGAAGTACGCCGACCGACACAGCGTGAACCCAATCCTTTGTCCAAATCCACTACAACGAGGCTCAGACGTGGGAAAGAGGCTGGCTGTGTCGAACATGGCGTTGGAGGAACTGGACAAGGAAACCACGGATTGTCGTTTTACAACGGAGCTGAGGGATGACACCTTTGATCCGAGGAAGTGGCTCTGGAATAGATTTAGGTATCAGTAGTAGCATCAGAATATCAACGATTATTATTTAACTCAGATATATCATTATATGTCATAGGGATGATCAACCTTCATCACGTCCATCATCGTCTTTGGTAAACTGTTCACGAAATCTGTTCTGTTGTTGACCTTTTTTCTCAAGAATTCAAGAATAAAACGTAAATAAGAAATATTGTGTGTTCGGTTTTGTCATAACTGCTTTATCGTCACGATGTGGCTGAAATATTGCCGATGTGACGTAAAGCATTAACTCACTCACTCACACTCACATAACTGCTTTAGGGCGTCGAGTGGGACCCTACTCAGGCTACAGGTACCTGAACGTATTGTCGTTCCTTGTCGTCATGGTCAGTTAAGTCATGACTTTGCAGCTCCCCTGGTCAGCATGGGGTCATCTATGTCAAGGAGTGATTGGTCTATCGACGCTTACTCCGAATTGTCACCATCAGCCTTCATACTCGCATAATAAAGAAACGCAACACCAGTTTTACACTCACATTAGTTTTACTTACTCTCAGTCCATCTATCAATACACGACAGGACCAGACCGGCCAGGCTCGTCACAGAGTGGGGAACTTAAAGCAATCGGGGTTCGACTCGATCGGCTGCTAACCGCGCTCTCCTCTCCTAAAGTTGAAGATTATCTTAATTGGTTAAGAACAACATCAGACCATGAACTCGTTTTTGTATCGTGATAAAAAACTACCGGAACCTCAAGATGTCTACTGATTAATTGTCGACAACGCCACCGCTATCCCGAAATATCCTGTCACTGTCATCGCCCTATTGATTTCCTGCTTGGTTGCGCCAACACTTCTGCTTTCTGTCTCCATTGTTTTAGAGCTATAATCCTGAATTTAAACACTGACTTTGTTATAATTTTAGGATGCATTTGTTCGTATAACTGTTTCATTTTGTTCCGTGCAATATGGTCTGACATGGTTTCACGTGGAATAATATGAGTGTACCTTCTGGACACATACTCCGGGGGAATTCTGGGGTAGAATATGCCCTCATTGTGAGTGAGTGAGTAGAGTTCAACGTCGCGTCTGCAATATTGCATTGCTATAGGAACGAGAACTATACATTCATTTAAACATAAAGATATAACACTATCACCCTGAAGGAATTCGGGTAACATCATCACAAGGTCTCAGCTTATTGATACAAATATGTATACACACGTTTATACAAATAAATAGAAACATAACAAACGTAATAAACATTACATATAGCACTAGCGAATAAATGCTCAACAAGTTTTATTACAAAACCTATAATAAAACCTGGTACTACCTGGTATGAATGAAGAGTAAAGTAAAGTGTGTGTGTGTGTGTGTGTGTGTGTGTGTGTGTGTGTGTGTGTGTGTGTGCTTGTACTAGTCCGGACTGATGCCGATTTATAACAATGAGATACTATGTCGCTGTTTAACATGAATACCCTACTCAGACACAGTATACCGACTCCGAGCCGTCCGGCGGACGCTCTACCACTAGACCACAGAGGCGGTCCTCTCTTGCTTGTAAACAAACGCGCTTATTCTGAACTCAGAACAAATAAAACTAATGCAAGTATTTTGGGGCGCTTTACATATTGTTTTGAATAATTATATATACTGAACAACAAAAGTTCCTGTGACACTGAATAAGATTTAATGCAAAGTTATGTCTTTACCAAATCTGAAACAATTTCGGTTTGCAACAGATAAAAGATCCCTGTAAGTGTTCAAATGGTTTAATTTGCCATACTGACTTCAGAAAATGCGTGATTTCGTAAAAACAACAACATGAACATGCCAAAATGTTAATTTACAAATAGCCTCTGGTTGCTATGCAAGCAACACATCTTCGTCTCATGGAATGGACGAGGCCTGTGGGATATATGTCCATATCTGCTGGAGCATGTTTCGAAGTTCCTGGAGTGTCTGTGGAACACGTGGTTGACGTCTAAGGCGCCGATCCATCTCATCCCACATGTGCTCGATTGGTGAGAGATCAGGGGAGCGAGCCGGCCTGGAGATGACATTCACGTTGTTTTGTTGAAGAGAATCCTGAACAAGTCGAGCAATATGAGGCCGGGCGTTGTCATGTTGAAAGGTAATGCCTGGGCCTTGACGACGCAAAAACGGTAGAACAACAGGACCGCTGTCCATTGACATTTCCCTCTACCACTATCAAACGGGTCCTCTGTCTTATTGTAATCCCACCCTATACGATAACGCTGCCGGCCCCCGTACCGATCTTCTTCCATGACACAATTTGGATATAAATATACTGTGTTTTCAATGTAGAGCTAGGTTACCTGTAGATTTAACCGCGCTAAATTGAATTTGGAACCGAACGCACAGCGTACAGGTAACCTAGCTCTACATTGAAAACACAGTATGTTTATCTCCATTCTACCATGACTAAATAACTCTTTGGTGTTAGCAAATATACTGAGTGAAGCGGCATGGATTGAGTCCAGTGTTTTGAGTGGGTCATCGATCTGAACAATCACCAAACAAAATATGGCGCTCTATATACTCAAGCAGTTTGTTTATACCCTAATATTTCACTCTAACATATGACAGGCATTGAAAGCATATAAGCACGGCAACTTGGTAAGCTAACATGAGGTGAGCATCCCTAAAGAAAACAAAGCAAGCTTTGCAAGGCTTTCGCTCTACATCGCGCGTCACCATTATGACGTCATGTCGCTCATTGTGAAGCAAAATATATGACGTCACAGACGTATATAGAAAAGCGCCAAAATTCCAAGCTCTCTGTTGTCTCCAAAACGTAAATACATTCCCTTTGTAGATTTCTATCGTGTTTTCTGCACGAAATGTATTGCCACACATCCTTTGAATATTGTAGTAACCGCATCTGTGCATTTTGTAACCTGTAATTGTAGATATAATTATTTAAATATGCCTACCGACAATGACTGAAAAAAGTACTATTCTATGAATATTAGCTTCCGCGGTGATGCAGCCGTCAAACCAGCTGTTTCAATCAGAGGGGGTTTATCGTGATTTAATAGCCTCTGATTGACCAATAAGAATCGAGTAAATTCCAAATTCATGGTAGAATGATTCACGTAACGTTCACCTCGACGTCGGTACACTCGAATCCGTCCATCGCTGTGGCTGAGGTGAAAACGAGACTCGTCAGTGAATAGAACTTGTCCCCACTGCATGGCCGTCCAGCGTAGACGCCGTCTGTAGACGTGCTTGACAGTGGTTTCCTGTCAAAATGGGACGTCTGGCGGGTCTTCTGACGACAATCCCTTCACATCTGAGGCGACGACGTACGGTTTGTGAAGATATGCGTCGAAGGCCGGGCATGCTTCTTGCAGTCACTGTTGCTGGCTGGAATCGATTTCGTAGGTGTGTTGTTCGAATCCAGTTGTCTTGTCGATTATTGGTTACGCGTGGCCTGCCACTCGGAGGATGGTCTCTGACTGCATTCGTCTGTTTCCAACGTTGCCATAAACACCTAATGGTGTTTCTGTGGACGTTAAATTGTCTTGCAACATCAGGTTGACTCGATCCTGCTTCAAGCATACCAATGGCTCGCAAACGCTCATTTTCGGACAGGTTTGGCAACTCGTAAAGTTGAATAATTGCGTAATATTTTTTTTCTGACTGGTTGTTGTCAGCATGATGCTAAACAATGCATATGGAATCCCGTTAACGCACATGTTTTTATACCCATTCTTGAGTAGTGAAATGCATGGGGCTTGCATAAAAGTCAACTTTTGCATAGAGTGCATGCTTTTCTGTAGCAGTTGCGTTTTTGTGACTTGATTCCATACATGTACTGCAAATATTGAAAACCAAACTTTACTTGTTTGAAAAATACACTAAAATATTGGTGTCACAGGAACATTTGTTGTTGAGTACGGATATGCTACCACAGCTGCGACAGTGAAGTGCATGGCAATATCTGTCTGTATCAAAGTGACCTATCGCTAGCTCTACGTATGGCAAGGATAACTTCGCAAATGGAAACAGTTTTTTTCAAGATTTAGGAAATTTTCTCAATAAAATTAACCATTCTATGACATATGTTTATCGAGATGTGTAGACATGTTAAAAATAAAACATGAAAAACATATGCAATATCTTGAATGGACTGTGAATGGATGCAACGAATGTCACATGACGCTGGTCTGTGGCAGAGATGCAATGGTGGCCGCATGGAACTCTGGGTAGGAGAGTGGTTAGGTCTACCATGCCGCCACACTCCGGCACAGTATTGGCTTAGGATAACACCACTGCCGCAGGCTAATTTGCATATAACGTGACCGGACTTTTCTCTTGTTTGTAAACACGCGCGCTAATTCTGAAAACACAACAGACTGGCCTAATGCAAGCCTTTCGGTGCGCTTAACGCATTGTTTTGCGTAATTATACAGATATTCTAGTACAACTGCGACAGTGTGGTGAATGACAGAATATCCGTCTGTATCAAAGTGACGTATCGCTAGCTCTGCGTATGGCTTGGATGACAGCACGTGGAGCCGTACAACCAATTTAAACAAAGGATAACTTCGCAAATGGAAACAGTGTTTTCACGATTTAGGAAATTTTCTCGATAGAATTAACCATTCTATGACATATGTTTATCAAGATGTGTAGACATGTTAAAAATAAAACAGATGAAAAACATATGCAATATCTTCAATGAACTGTGAATGGATGTAACGAATGTCACATGACGCTGGCCTGTGGCAGAGATACAGTGGTGGCCGCATGGAACTCTGGGTAGGAGAGTGGTTAGGTCTACCATGCCGCCACACTCCGGCACAGTGTTGGCTTAGCATAACACCACTGCTGCAGGCTAATTTGCATATCACGTGACCGGACTTTTCTCTTGTTTGTAAACATGCGCGCTTATTCTGAAAACACAACAGACTGGCCTAATGCAAGCCTTTCGGTGCGCTAAACACATTGTTTTGCGTAATTATACAGATATTCTAGTACAATTGCGACAGTGAGGTGAATGACAAATGAATATATCTGTCTGTATCAAAGTGACCGTATAGCCAGCCCTCCGTAGCGCTTCGATGACAGCACGCGGAGCCGTACAACCAATATAAACAAAGGAGATGAGGTGAGGTGAAATGGGGTTTAACGTCGCGTCCAAGATTATTGCACTTATATAGCGACGTGCATGCACGTGTATGTGTGTGTGTGGCTGCTTGTACTAGTCCGGACTGATGCCGATTTATAGTGCTAGCACACTGAGATACCATGCCGCAGTTTAACATGAATACCCCACTCAGACACAGTATACTGACTCCGAGCCGACCAGTCCTTATATTTTAGCCCCTTAATGCCGAGCGCCAGACAGGGTAACAACAAGTACCATCTTTTAACGTCTTTTGGTATGACGCGGCTGGGGATCGAACCCCGGACCTTCCGTAGATTTTCACGCATAAGGATACTTTCTTAATGAACCGTAACCATTCTTTGGCATTTGTTTATCAAAATGTGTAGACTTGTCAAACATGAAACGGATGAAAAGCATATGCAATATCTTGAATGGACTGTCTTAGATGTGACATGGCCTTGGCCTGTGGCAGAGGCACTATGCTGGCTGGCCACCGCAAGGAACTCTGGGTAGGAGAGTGCCATGCCGCAGTTAACATGGATACCTAAAGGCACAGTGATTGTGACGTCACGATACTGTGACCTCACCGGTCTATGACGTCAGCGTTGCCCGCATTAAGTTTTTAAGCTTTTACGTATGGATCCACTTGCAAAGTGTTCCGTTCATTATCTGAAAATCTATCAAGGAGTATACGAAGGTTTGGTTTACGGCAAAGACGCTGTAAATAGTAAGTTTCCATTTTCCTCTTTGAATATTTTAAGTTTTACAAGACAGATTTCGGGTGTTCATTAACTCGTCTAATATTTCCACCCACACTTTTTGTCAAATATTTGTCTATTAACTAAATATGCTGATGGCCTTCTAAATTTTTGGTTAAAAATGACAGTTTTCCTGACTTACTTTCATTATTTTATTAAATCTGCACATGTAACTAAGGTTGATTTAAGTCCAATGAGTTTTTGTGATAAGTGAGTGAGTGAGTTTAACGCCGCCATTAACAGTATTCTAGATATATCACGGCGTGTTAGCTTAATGTGGGAGGAAAGCCCGAAGTGATGCAGGTCTCAGACGTTTACCACTTCGGTGAAACCCACGAGCACGGGTATGGTGCTGACAAACCTAGAAACATAATCGGGGCGAACCGGGATTCGAACCCACAATCATAACTTATTTTCAAAATTTTAATGGAACATGATCTTTGATTATTGATGAATGTGCACAAAGAGCGCTATCAGGGATATCACGAGTGAGTGAGTATTGTTTAACGCCATTTTGACAGTATTCCAGTTATTTCACGGCGTGTGAGCTTTGTGTTGGAGGAAAACAGGAAAAAATGCATGTACATGGTGCTTGGATTATAACCCACAATAACTGCTTTCTGGCACACCTTGGGGCACGGGTGGCCCAGTCGTCTGAGGCGCCGCGAATCGCTGTGCAGAGTTGCGTCCCTTAGGCACGCCAGAAACATATGATTGTGGGTTCGAATCCCGGTTCGCCCCGATTATGTTTCTAGGTATGTCAGCACCATACCCGTGCTCGTGGGTTTCACCGAAGTGGTATAACGTCTGAGACCTGCATCACTTCAAGCTTTCCTCCCACATTAAGCTGACACGCTGCAATATAACTGGAATACTGTTAAAAGCGGCGTTAAACCAAACTCACTCACTCAAAAAAAGAACCCCACCCCATATTCCCATTGGAACTTTGGTTTTAGAATCATTAGAATTAAAAACAACACACTGGAGTTTGTATAGAAATATAACCATTTCTGCGCATGTGTAGATTAATTCACTTTCTACACAAGTACAACATTATTGAAAATGGGCGACAACGCAAAGTTATCAATATTTCGCACATTTTACCGCCCTTTTCACGCATTCTAATTGAGTTGTTAATGCGACAACGCAATATATTTTGAGCTGCATCACCCTTCGATGAAATACAAAATGCTACAAATGGTCAAAAAGCTTGTTTTGGTAGATGACAAAGTGACAGTGTCCAATTAAACAAGACGATTTATAAGTTTATTAGTGAACAGGTATACATATATTTTAACAGGCGCAAATCTTAATAAGTATATTTAGGGAGGTGTAGGTCACTGCCACAATGAAGTCCCATGTGAACAGCCGGGTAAGAATTGGTCTTCAGCAACCCATGCTGTTCGTAAGAGGCATCTAACTGGATCGGTTGGTCAGGCTCGCTGACGTGGTTGATGCGTGTCATCGTATCCCATTTGCGCAGATCGATGCTCATGATGTCAATCACTGGACTGTCTGGTTTAGATTCGATTATTTACAGACCGATGTTACATGGCTTGAATATTACTGAGTACGGCGTTCAACAACAAACAAAAAAGTAAACAAACAAACAATCAAACACACAAACAAAGCCACAATAAAGTGAAATTTGTCTTGCAACTGCATCGAACATTATTATAGCTTTCGTATACAATCGAAAAACAATTATTCAGCTACATATTTCCTTGCAGAAATCTGAAACTGGATTTTAAAAGAAAACCTCAGCAGATGCCAATAATACAGACGCATATTTTCACAAATTAAAAAAACCAAACCATCATGACGTGAACATTTGTCTAACAACTGTATCGCGGAGCTGTTAATAAATATAGTTTTCATATACAACTGAAAAAAACCATTAATTAAATTACATATACATCTCCTTGTTGAAGTCTAAAAATGAATTTTGAAAGAAAAGCTCAGGAGATGAAAATATAACAGACGAATCTTTTCACTACTGTTTAATGTGATGATTTGACAAGAGATGACATTAGATGATTTGAAAAAAAGTCACCATCGAACCGTTTCCTTTGTTATTCTTATTTTCAGGGCGGGAGGAAAAAATTAAGAACGAAAGAACCTTTAAGAAGAACTCCATCGTGTACGCCAAGAAGAATCCCATGTTACCCAAAATATACCAGCTCGAGCAGAGGGTTCATCATTTGGCCATTGCCGATGACACATTCACAAGTGCTACAATTCCAGAACTCTATCCGACTCTCACGACAAAACTAGAATCCAAAACTTCGCCCTTCACAGCAGACCGGAAGTCAGTCTTCACAGAGGAGACAACTACCCCAATTGCTTCGAAACCACTTCCGGCTTCGCATTTGAACGCTTCGTTACTAAGACGACCTACTACGCTCAGGATCCGACCTTTGGAAGAAAAGGACGAGGAGTTCCAAGCGTTTGCGAACCGTTTAGATTTAAAGCCACTGATAATCGATGATTGTCCGTTTAAGACTCTGAAGTTCTACCTCTTGAAATACCCGCTGCTGCTTCAGAAGCTGCTGGCAAAAGATCGGGATAGGTACGCCGACCGACGCAGCGTGAACCCAATCCTTTGTCCAAATCCACTACAACGAGGCTCAGACGTGGGAAAGAGGCTGGTTGTGTCGAACATTGCGTTGGATGAACTGGAAAAGGAAACAACGGGTTGTCGTTTTACAACGGAGCTGAGGGATGACACCTTTGATCCGAGGAAGTGGCTCTGGAATAGATATAGGTATCAGTAGTGGCATCAGAATATCAACGATTATTATTCAACTCAGATATATGTTATAGGGATGATCAACTTTCATTGCGTCAATCATCGTCTATGGTAAACTGTTCACGAAATGTATTCTATTGGCTTCTTATCTCAAGAATTCAAGAATAAAACGTAAATATCTAAACAACAAACTGTTTGTACGGCTGAATTTATCACGTAAAATATGGGCTGACACGGTTCCCCAAGGAGTACTGAACCCACTTCCCGGACCCATATTTTCGCGGGAATACTTGGGTCGAATAAGTGCAGATATACCAAGCATATTTATCGGAGAGAATATGCGATATTATCATACCTTCATGTCAGAATGATGAGATCTGATTGGTCCACGTCATCTTGATAACATACTGTGTAAGTACCGCCTTAGAGGGTAATACATTACTCAACAGGGGAATAAACCTCTTATACCCCGCCACGAGCAATACAGTCTGCACGTGAATTTCAGGGGAAGACAGAATATATCACTAATACCCCAAGTGATCCTGCTACAACTTATAATAACCCATGCCGAGCCCCCTTGGAACTGACCTTCAGCAACCCATGCTTGTCGCAAGAGGCAACTAAGGGGATCGGGTGGTCAGACTCGCTGACTTGGTTTGATGCATGTCATCGTATTCCAACAGATAAATGCTGAAGATGTCAGTCTCTGTCTTTCTGGACTTGATCATTTACAGACCACCGCCATATAGCTGGAATATTGCTAAGTGCGACGTTAACAATAAAGAAACGAAACAAACGCGGCGGCGCCTTAGACTGTGGGACACCCATTCCCCTTTCATTTCAATTGACGGTGTGGTTTTAAGGTTATATTGTTGTTAACATGTCTTTGTTATTTTACAACACGAACAGAAACGCGTTCAATTAACCGTGTTATCAAAATGAACAGCGTTAAAGCCTTTCACACGGTCTATTAATTGAATCGGAAATGCATGTCGACTGCGACAGCAAGGGCTCTGATTGGGTGTTGGATGGCCTAGTTCAGTGTTCGCTCGTCATGCTGAGTATCCGGGTTTCATTCTGCATATGGACATGCTGTGTGAAGCCAAGTTTAATGTCTTGTCCATATATGTTTCTGCACTACTACTAAACTATAAATTTCTCTGATTTGATCCTGTGCCCCATCCACGAAATAGGAGGTTTTCCATGTTTTCATCCATGAAATCGGATGTTTTCGATGCATGTGGAATACGAGACAGACAAAACCCTTGTCTTTTTAAAGAGACACCACCTCTGTAGGCTCTTTATAGAAGGATTCAAACTTTACCTAGAAATGAAACAAGCTTTGAATTTAATTTGACTCTAAACCATAATTCAATACAATACATCGAGTATGCCATGAAGACTTTAAATGTGTCTAAAATTCCCTTCAAAGGGGTATTTGAACTAACGCCACTGAGCCGATGTGTGGATTTAGGCACCATATACAGTAAACTACGGTTATAACGAACACGCTTATAACGAACTGACGGATATAACGAACTAACGTTTTAGTCCCCAGTATTTGATGTAGTTATGCTGTATATATGCTTATAACGAACTAAAATAGTGGTCCCTTTGAGTTCGTTATAACCGTAGTTTACTGTACGTAGTTTACATTATAAGCACTGACCTCTTCTGCATATAAAGTATATTTGATAGAGTTACTACAAGACCGTAGTGTTTATTTAAGTATACCTCAAGCTGCAGTGACTTCTAGTATTTAAGTTCACAGTGAGTTGCAATGTTTATTAAAGTATACCGTAGGTTACAGTGATTATTTAAGTTCACAGTGAGTTGCAATGTTTTTTTAAGTATACCGTAGGTTACAGTGATTATTTAAGTTCACAGTGAGCTGAAGTGTTTATTTAAGCACACAGTGAGATGCAGTGATTATTTAAGTACACAGTGAGTTGCAGTGTTTATTTAAGTACAGAATGAGCTGCAGTGATTATTTAAGTACACAGTGAGTTGAAGGGATTATTTAAGTACACAGTGAGTTGCAGTGTTTATTTAAGTACACAGTGAGTTGCAGTGTTTATTTAAGTACACAGTGAGTTGCAGTGTTTATTTGAGTACACAGTGAGTTGCACTTTTTATTTAAGCACACAGTGAGTTGCAGTGTTTATTTAAGTACAGAATGAGCTGCAGTGATTATTTGAGTACACAGTGAGTTGCAGTGTTTATTTAAGTACACAGTGAGTTGCAGTGATTATTTAAGTACACAGTGAGTTGCAGTGTTTATTTAAGTACAGAATGAGCTGCAGTGATTATTTAAGTACACAGTGAGTTGCAGTGTTTATTTAAGTACACAGTGAGTTGCAGTGTTTATTTAAGTACACAGTGAGTTGCAGTGTTTATTTGAGTACACAGTGAGTTGCACTTTTTATTTAAGCACACAGTTAGTTGCAGTGATTATATAAGTACAGAATGAGCTGCAGTGATTATTTGAGTACACAGTGAGTTGCAGTGTTTATTTAAGTACTCAGTGAGTTGCAGTGATTATTTAAGTACATCGTGAGTTGCAGTGTTTACGTCGTAAAGACTGAGTTGCAGTGTTTATTTAAGTACAGATTGAGCTGCAGTGTTTATTTAAGTACAGAATGAGCTGCAGTGTCTATTCAAGTACACAGTGAGTTGCAGTGATTATTTAAGCACACAGTGAGTTGCAGTGATTATTTAAGTACACAGTGAGTTGCAGTGTTTATGTAAGTAAAGACTGAGTTGCAGTGTTTATTTTAGTACAGAATGAGCTGCAGTGATTATTTAAGTACACAGTGAGTTGCAGTGTTCATTTAAGTACACAGTAAGTTGCAGTGTTTATTTAAGTACACAGTGAGTTGCAGTGTTTATTTGAGTACACAGTGAGTTGCACTTTTTATTTAAGCACACAGTTAGTTGCAGTGTTTATATAAGTACAGAATGAGCTGCAGTGATTATTTGAGTACACAGTGAGTTGCAGTGTTTATTTAAGTACTCAGTGAGTTGCAGTGATTATTTAAGTACATCGTGAGTTGCAGTGTTTACGTCGTAAAGACTGAGTTGCAGTGTTTATTTAAGTACAGAATGAGCTGCAGTGTTTATTTAAGTACAGAATGAGCTGCAGTGTCTATTCAAGTACACAGTGAGTTGCAGTGATTATTTAAGCACACAGTGAGTTGCAGTGATTATTTAAGTACACAGTGAGTTGCAGTGTTTATGTAAGTAAAGACTGAGTTGCAGTGTTTATTTAAGTACAGAATGAGCTGCAGTGTCTATTTAAGTACACAGTGAGTTGCAGTTTACTTCCTATATTTTTTATTTCACTTAAAATAATCTTTGGGTTGATGCGATGATATATTGTTACAGCTTCATGCTTAAACAGGTGCATGAATCGTTTGCATTAAATGATAATAGAGCCAGCTTACCGAAGATGCAGATGGATATTGTTTTCATCTCCAAAGTGAGGTAATGTGTCTGTGTAAGACGTATGTAGGTATTCCTGTACTGTAATGCTAACGCAAGGGCACACCGTGCAAGAAACGAGCCCATCTAACCATTCGTTTCCTCCGCCCGGTCGTAACGGTAACTGTCAAGGCTATGTATGACGATGTTCAAAGTGAAGTCTCAACGATCGCGAGTGTACCCCGACATGTTCGCATCTTGTTCACGATTGATGATTGATCCATTAAATCTTCTATGAGGCTTAAGTTAACTTCAATCAGTGCGCACGCATCATAGGTGCCCTTATCGTGGTTTATCCTTGTTTATTTCCCCGAAGAACTATACACGTCCAATGCTTAGTGAGTGAGTTTGGTTTTAAGACGCTTTTAGAAATATTCCAGCAATATCACGACGGGGCACATTAGAGTGAGTGAGTGAGTTGGGTTTAACGCCGCTTTTAACAGTATTCCATTTGAATCATGGCTAGTCAGCTTAATGTGGGAGGAAAGCCCGAAGTGATGCAGGTCTCAGACGTTTACCACTTCGGTGAAACCCACGAGCACGGTAATGGTGCTGACGAACCTAGAAACATAATCGGGGCGAACCTGGATTCGAACCCACAATCATAGGTTTCTGGCGTGCCCAAGGGACGCAACTCCCCACAGAGAATCGCGGTGCCTTAGGCGACTGGGCCACCCGTGCCCCCGGGGCACATTAGAAATGGGTTGCACACATTGTACGCATGTAGGGGATTGAACCCGGACCTTCGGCGTGAAGAGCGATCGCTTTAACCACAAGGCTACCCTACCGCCCCTCTATTGCGTAGGAAGAGTGTGTCTACAGGTCTAGTAGCTGGAAATATTTGGCTATCGGTCAAAGCGAACTGAAATTATACCTTGAACAATATAGAACTCGTGTGAGCCGTGTATTTCAAATTTCAAATTTTAAATAATGTTTTCTTATAAAAAAGAATGGTAACATGTTTCATTATGTATTTTATCATGACAAATACTGCAAAGGTGTTTGGTACAATTCCTGTTCAATGACCAGAAAATGCGACCTTTACAGTATACATATAGCTGGAATAATGCTGCGGGCGGCGTCAAACAACAAAATATGCAGACAAGGTTACATCTGGTAAATGTATCCGGTTTTAAAGTTGGTTAGTTTGTTGTTTAACGCCGCACTCAGCAATATTCCAGCTATATGACGGCGGTCTGTAAATAATCGAGAATGGACCAGATAATCCAGTGATTAATATCATGAGCATCGACCCACGCAATTGGGATCGATGACATGCATCAACCAAGTCAGCGAGCCTAACCACCCGATCCCGTTAGTCGCCTTTTACGACGAGCAAAGTCACCTTTTACGGCAAGCATGGGTTGCTGAGGACAAAATGCAAGGTATAATCTGAGAACTTATGTTTTCAGTCTTGATAGTTTCCAGAGGTTGAGCATGTGGTCCTTGACATTATAAAGACGTCATACAAGAGACAGTTTATCATCAATACAATGCAGGCGAACTAGATAGGCTTCATGAAATAATAACAATGCTGCCAATAAGAAGCTACAGCGCTTGTATTTCAAAAGGTATTGTGTTCAACAGCACCAGAGTAAAGACGATGCTTCTCTGCAGGTGAAACTGACGATGAGGTGTTTTACAGCAATGTGCATCGTCTTGATGACATGCGCTGTCACCACTCACACTCAAAGAATAC